AGGGCGCACCTCATATCCTTGTGACCGGATGTGTTTGTACTTCACTGCACCTGTACGCGTCCGCAGCGTGTTTGAAGCTGCCGCCCACGGTCGAGGACCTGGCGAGAGATGTTTCGACCACATCGGAAACAGTCTGAAGAGACCACTGGAGTTCAAGGGCATCCAAGGGATAGCTGAAGCTTCTGTGCGTAGACTTTTCCGTCCGTTCCAGACGAGTTGGCTGTCGCTGGGAGCTATCGTGCGCAGGATGTGTGAGCAGCGGCCTGTTCTGCTTCCTTTTAGGCTACCGAACATTATTCAGGAACATTATGGGAATTTTTGTTTTAATTTGTTTTTAATTTGAGAGGCCATTTAAATTCTTTTAGAAAAATTATTATTAAGGAACAATATGTCCAAGCTACGAGAACCATCCTAAACGCGCTGAAACAGCCGCTGTTCGAGATGCATTTCGCCTCCCTGAGGTACATTTGCCTGTGATCAACCAGGCAAACCAACCCCTCCAGTCCGAGTGCGCTCAGATCCACGCCTCACGGAAGACTGTTTATATTGTACAGGACGGTGGCTCAAAACTACTTGCAGTTTGAGGAAGGGGAGCCGAGCCCGGGGCACATGCACCCTTCGGATCCTCGCAACTTCGTATCACTTCCGGATATGTACTGCGGAGCTGAGGCAGAGGCAGTGGTGTTAGCCAAACCCGTGCAACCAGACGTCCAGGAATTCTTCGGACCGCACGTGCAGATGTTTTACATCGAACTGTTCCAGCACATCTGGTCTCGGCTTGATTTCCGAGATGGGACGTGGAAGCTCCTGGAAGCCATCGATTCGCTGTCCGACGTCAAGTCGATTGCCCCTCTTGCGGTGAGGTTTCCCAACATGGTACCGCAACGAGACTACGAGGCACTGGACGCGGAATGGAGACAGCTCAAATGCACAACTGGGGACAAAGTTCCAAGTACTGATCTCCCAGTCGAGCATACTAGGCTGCCGTGGCGGAAAGCAAAGACAACGAATGTGAACGTGCCTTTCCAACTCTAACACCATTCATGCAAGCACTACTGTCGCTACCTCATTCGAGTGCAGCTGCCGAGCGTATCTTCTCTGCGCTCAGTGTGATAGACACTCCGTCCAGGAACGGTCTGGGAGTGTCAGCCACAGCTGCCCTGGTGGGTACTCGTCAGTACACGCACCAACCCGCTTCGAGTAGGTGCCTTCTGCAAGTCTCCGGGCCCGGCTGAAGCGCTAAAAGGTCAGTCCTGGGGCCGGCGTCGGGTTGGATGAGCAGTTAACTCAAATTTAGATCGAATTAGCCGCTCCTCATATAACTGAAGTAGTTGTCATAACTACGCCCTCAGCAGTTCAGGTAACTCTCATGGCTCATACCCTGAATGATGATTAACTTCGCGATATTTCATTGTCTCTTTTATTTCATCTTTTTTATGCCAGACAATGTTTACTTGCTTTAGCATAAAGATGCACGCAGGCTATTGCAATTGGCCGGGGCACAATCCAAATTTTGAGACTGAAAAACTCCATTTTAGCGTGCCGCAAGTGGTGAACAGCCTGGTGCATTTTGGACATCTGTGTAGTACGCTGGTTTGCAAATCTGGCACATTTTGTGCACCTTTTTGGTACGCTCGCAGAAGCCAAAACGGCAACACTGAACTGATGGGACGGACGGTGGCGGGGAGCTGTGTCGTACGTTACAAAGAGCATTATTTACAGTTTCCCCTTTTAAGTATTTCTTATTTAGGACATTATATCATCGTACTCACGTGCATGCTTTCTCGAAACAATATCCTTCAAGTAATGTATCGTCCAGTTTTAAAGAGATTCGTGTGATTGTAACCGATTGTTTTGATACCTGAAAAGTAATTGACGACTCATTGAAAAAATGTCACTTTCTGGCCAAACATATTACCCTTAGCTCACCCACCCTTCAGTCTGCAAATAGTGTGTTCATTGTACTAGATTTTTATGGCATGGGTGTTATGAACACCGCACATGTGTCAAAGTTAAATTAGGCTAAATTGTACAGAATTCTCAACTTGCGACCTACGATTGTTTACAACTTATGATTACTTACAACTTACATCAACAACTGGTTGGCAGGTTGAGGTGCCTTTGTGGCATTTATACATTTTTATCCTTGATTTTGTTGTCAACTTCTCACCAGTTCCAGCAATGAGTGGTGGTGACTCACAGGGATTGGCTATGCCCAGAAAGTATGCAAATATGTAACAATACCACTTCATTCTAGTATCACGGTTCCAAATTATGCAGATATGCCATTCAATCCATCATTCCAGGCCATGTCATTCTGTGCAGAAACCTGACAACTGTGAAACAAAAGCATAGCCTCTGGTTACTTGCCTCTTGATGTCCTGATAAAGTTATCACTATCAAGGATGGTTATGATATTTATATTTTTTTGTATTTATATTATTTTTGCTCACAAAGTAAAGAACAAGCTCAAAAATGTCTTGTACAAAATGCATTTGCTCAATGTGACAGCGTATTCAGGTCTAGTAAGGATAAAGCAACAATAAAGCTCAACTTCAACTGCACCACTTTTCAGGGTCATGAACACCAGGAGACCAACTATGGCAGAATCATGGAAACTGAAGGATTGTCAATTCCCATCACTTTGTTGCATAATATTGGCAACTTTCTTCTTGTAGGTAGTGGTGTTTACCCTAACATCTGTTAGCTTTTCCCCCCCTTTGTTATGAATGAATATTATGTATTATTTTGTGTACTTCCCATGCACCTTTCTGATATGTCTCTTTACCTTTGTGGGCATGGATGTGAAGCCATATTGAGCAATACAAGTCATGTAGTCAAAGTGACTGCCAAGTGTTTGAGAACTTTGTCACTGGCAACTTTGACTGCTCTTTGTTGGCAGGCGAGGGTGGCATGGTCAGCAGTTATGGCCTGGATGACTGCACAGCTGTGAGCCAGCTGTCAGTATTCCCTGATTGCCGGGTGCACGGAATCAGTGAGCAGTCTGCAGAGTCTCTGGTGTGTATGGACAGCCAGTCTGCAGAGTCCCTGGTGTGTACAGACAGCCATTCTGCAGAGTCTCTGGTGTGCACAAATGGTCCATCAGTACAGTCTCTGGTGTGCACAGATGGCCAGTCTGCACAGTATCAGGCATACACAGATGACCAGTCTGCACTGGCACATACAGATAGTCAGCCTGTGCACTCTTCGGCATGCACAGAGAGACAGTGGCTGGCCAGGCCCTTGGCAGAGCTTGCGCTGCATGCCGAAAATGAGCGGCCTGCAGCGCATCTGGTAAACGACGGCAAATATAGGCCTGTTAATTGCCACCAGCTGGCCGTCTATGGCGGAAGACGACTCTGCAAGGTTTCGCTCGACGAGAAAGGACGGTAAGGAAATGCTTGCAAAATGCAAGCGTAGTCATGTCGACCAGCAAGTGATGTTATGAAGGCTAGCGTTCCCCGCGTATTCTGAGAGCCTGATGTGCCATGTGTCGTAAGTGGACGCAGGGACGGCGCGGAGAACCAGCAGCGCGAGCTTGGGCTAGAGTGATGTGGCATGCTGTCATGTCTGTACCAATCTGAGGCGGCAGCCATCGCGTCTACGCCAGTGTGAGCTGTCAGTTGTCTTTTCTGGAGCACGCTCGGGCCGTAACTGTTGTGTAGACCCAGTGTGTTGCGACAGCGAACGCATCTGCCGCGAGCTGGCCTGTGTGGGTATGTGTCAGCTGACCCGAGCGGTCGCGCCACAGCGTCGGCTGACCCGCGAGGCTTCCTGGCTCAGTTGGTGACACGAGCTGTGTGGTGCGTTGTGCCGTGCGTATCGGCTGTGACACGCGGCTGACCCGCGTGCGGCAGACTGCGGCGGGAGCGGCTGTCGGCTGACCTGGCTGGGTGGCTGCTGGACGTGCGGTGGCTGGCGGACGGCGGACTGGCCGCCCTGGACGCGCACGGCCGGCTACTGCGGCTCGGCGCCGACCTGCGCGTGGCGGAAGCGACCCGCTGCCCGGACCGTTGCCTGCTGTACAGCGGAGCACTGCTCGGCACCCGGTGGCGGTCGCTGCTAGCCTTCTGCGGCACCGTGTTCTGCCAGGTGCTGGTGTGGGCGCCGGGCGCTGGCGGCGTCCTGCACCGCCTGTCCGGCCACAGTGGCGTGCTGTTTCACCTGGTGCTGGACGCCGGCGGCCGTACGCTCGTCTCCTGCTCCGACGACCGGTCGGTGCGGCTGTGGCGGCCGCACGGCGGCGACTGGCGTCTTGGCGCTGCCGCCGTCGACGCCGCCCTCTTCGGGCACGAGGCGCGCGTCTGGCGCGCGCTGCCGCTCGACGGCCGTGTCGTCAGTGTCGGCGAGGACTCGCGCGTGTGCCTGTGGGCGGCCGACGGCCGGCTGGAGCGTCGCTGGAGCGCGCACCAGGGCTCCAGCGTGCGGGCCGCCGCCGTCTGCCGGCGCGGCCGCCGCCTGGCCACCGGCGGCGGCGACGGCGGCGTGCTGCTGTGGCGCTTGGACGCGGCGGCGACGGCAGCGCCTCGTGCCCTGCCGCCGCCGCCCGGCGACCGAGCGCGCGCGCTGGCGTCGCTCGACGCCCGTCGCCAGCTGCTGATGACGGATGCCGGCCGGCTGCTTGTGCTGGAGCGGAACGGCGTTGACGTGCGCGCCCGGGAGGCGTACGCTGACCCGCGGCTGGCCAGCTATGCCCTGCTGGCCGCCGCCCCCGACGGGCGGCACGTGCTGCTGGCCGGCCTGCGCGGCGAGCTCGTCACACTGAGGGACGGTGAGTGGTGTGAGGTTTGCGATCGTCAGGGGCGGGTGAGTGTGAGCGTGAGCCTGCTCGCCGTCTTCAGGGACAGTGAGTGGCGGTGGGCTTCGTCACCCGTAGGTGTGGCGAGTTGTCTGGTGTGGTGGGTATCCGCGTTGGATCGACTGCCTGGAGCTCAATTCTACCTTGTTTAGCTTTGCACTAGAGCAAGGTCAATGATTGGCGATGTAGAAGCCCAATGACTATCAACAATCGAACAACCGATGTTCGGGCACCACTCGGCCGCCTTTTAACTGTTGAACGGTTTCCCAGATGGCCATTGCTTTGTGCGGGTCGGCGATCAGCTGCTATGGGACAGCAAGATCTACAGCGCCCTCTGGCTGTCATCGGACACAATAGTCGCCTGTGATGGTGCCGGCCAACTGCAAGTGCTGCAGTTAGGTCAGTAAATACTTGTGAATAGAGCTGTCATATATCACCAAAAGTATTTCATCCACCAACCCATTCTCCTGAACCCACTTGTCTAGTAATCCCTGGCTCCTACTGAAACACTAGTAGTTACTTATTGACGAACTGAGGGAAATTGAGTGTGTTGGCCGATGAAATGCGCTCGCTTATAATGCATTCCTTGATGGATGTTGTTACTTTGCGGTACACCTTACGTCCTGAGTGGGGTGTGCGGGCATATCCTCAAGGGAAGCTTGCCTTTGGGGATGGGAAGGTGAACGTCGATTACCTAAGCAATGAAAATTCAGAATTTAGGAACATCGAGCCAAAAAGAAATGTGGGAAAACTAAGGTGTTCCTATGCAAATGCAAGGAGTTTCAGAAACAAGTGTGGTGAGCCCCATGCTCATACACTTGAAGAAAAGTTAAACGTGGTAGCTATTACTGAACCTTGGATATCAGTGAGCAGCTTTTTGGGGATAGTTTACGTGAATTTAAATTATCTGGGTACAATGTGTTTACTTTTCACAGGAAAGCTAAAAGAGTAGGTGAGATATGAGCATTTGTAAGGCAGGATATGAACTGTGAAACTGTAGACAGCATGAAGCTTGGTGATGGTGTAGAATCTCCCTGGATAGATTTGGTTGTGTTAAATGGCAACGAGTTACACATTGGAATCTTCTATAGGCCTCCAAATAGTTGTGGGGAGCTGGAAACGAATGTGTGAAGAAATTGGCATAGGTGAGAATCAAAAATTTGTCACGCTGGGGGATTTCAACATCCCAGGCGGGAGCGTAGATTTAGACCAATCGTGAAACAACCACAAAAATATCTTTGCTTGTTTTGAAGAAAATTTTCTTCAGCAGGTGGTGTGTGAACCCACTAGGGGAGGTGAGGTTTTAAATCTTGTTATGACTAATTAGGAGCTGTTGGTAGATGCTATGATGGTAGGTGAAACATTGGGAAACAGTAACCATAATGGTATAAGGTTCGCAATGTTTATAGATTATTCAGGTAAGGCTTATAGTCTTATTCTGAATTTTGTTAGGGGTAGATTTGGAACACTTAAGGCCTTCCTTGCTAGCATCCAGTGTGAGGATATTCTAACTGGCCTCACTGCACATCAGATGTGGGAAATTTTCAAGAGAAGTGAACCACTGGAATGAGCTGACAAACGAAGTTGTAGGAAGTTCCTCTCTAGCGACATTCAGAAACCATTTGTACAGATTCTGTTGGTGCAAAGGTCTCATTTATAACCAAATTTATGTAGGTCAGGAGATTAGTTCCGGGAATGGGTACAGAACCTGAGGGAGCCCAACATCAATGGGTCCTTGTGGCTCTTTGTTGGCCGGATTTCCTTATGTTTTTGTGTCTTATGTCTGTGGCCGCTTCTGCCACTGTTTTTACATTTACTGCTGCCCTAAAACAACATTAATCATTTGTAACATCATGTGCATTTCTGATGTTGAGTGCTTTGAGATACTTTAAGTTATATTATATCATGCTGCACCTCACTATCTGCGTGTCAATAATGCTGGGCTCCTGTAAAGGATTCTAATTGAATTTTGATTCCTTCTCATCGTTCTTTTGCAGCAAATCTGATCTGGTCACCATCTGCAGCAAAAATGACAAATCCATGTTTCCGTTTGCGCCGGCAGGTGGCAGTGGCACGTTCTCACTGGTGTGCCGCCACCAGCTACCTCCGTGCAAGCAGCGATGGCTGTCAGCAGCGGCGCTCTACCAGGGCTGCCTGACGGCGGCTGACAGGGAAGGCGGCCTTCACGTGTTCCGCCCGGACCAGGTACGCAGCAGACCGCCCTGATTCCGCCCCGGCAGACGGCGACCCTCCGTCGCGTCCGGCGCTGACCGGCCGCCGCCGCCGGCAGGTATTGCCGGCGCAGACGCTGCGGCGGCTGCTGGGCCGCCACGGCGCCACCAGCCTGACGCCGGCTGACGGCTGCCTGCTGGCCACCGGGCGCGACGGCTCGCTGCGCCGGCTGGCCAGCGACCCGGCACGGCCCGGCCAGCTGTGTCAGCTCACCGTCCGCCGACTGCCCTGGCAGTGGACGGCTGGCCTCGCGCAGGTGGACGGCCACTGCACCCTCATCGCCTTCCAAGCGGTGAGCGCGCCGCCCGCCTGCCCGGGTGGGCTGCCGGCCGGTCGTCGACTGATGGGACATGGTTGGTCCGCGCCTCCTTCGCCGTCCGGCAACTTATACTGGCAGTCTCGGTATGTTCTGAGCTAAATGAAAATATGTGAATTTTCAAAAGCTGATCAGTCTCAGTTTGTGCTCTGGTCATTGTCGGTGCCTGACCCTGGCCGTCGCCACGGTCAGTCCCAGTTTGTGCTCTGGTCAGTGGCGGTGCCTTACCCTGGCCGTCGCTGCGGTCAGTCCCAGTTTGTGCTCTGGTCATTGTCGGTGCCTGACCCTGGCCGGTGCCACGGTCAGTCTCAGTTTGTGCTCTGGTCATTGTCGGTGCCTGACCCTGGCCGTCGCCGCGGTCAGTCTCAGTTTGTGCTCTGGTCAGTGGCGGTGCCTGACCCTGGCCGTCGCCGCGGTCAGTCTCAGTTTGTGCTCTGGTCATTGTCGGTGCCTGACCCTGGCCGTCGCCGCGGTCAGTCTCAGTTTGTGCTCTAGTCAGTGGCGGTGCCTGACCCTGGCCGTCCGCGGTCAGTCCCAGTTTGTGCTCTGGTCAGTGGCGGTGCCTGACCCTGGCCGTCGCCGCGGTCAGTCTCAGTTTGTGCTCTGGTCAGTGGCGGTGCCTGACCCTGGCCGTCGCCGCGGTCAGTCTCAGTTTGTGCTCTGGTCATTGTCGGTGCCTGACCCTGGCCGTCGCCGCGGGTCAGTCTCAGTTTGTGCTCTGGTCAGTGGCGGTGCCTGACCCTGGCCGGTGCCACGGTCAGTCTCAGTTTGTGCTCTGGTCATTGTCGGTGCCTGACCCTGGCCGTCGCCGCGGTCAGTCTCAGTTTGTGCTCTGGTCAGTGGCGGTGCCTGACCCTGGCCGTCGCCGCGGTCAGTCTCAGTTTGTGCTCTGGTCAGTGGCGGCCGAGCGGGAGCTGTGGCGCGTGACCTGCGGTGGCGGCCACCGCTCCTGGGCGCTCTCCGTCTCCAGCGACGCACTCTGGCTCAGCTGGGTCTCAGAGAGGCAGGTCCGACACGTCTCCTGTCTCCTGGCCGATCTTCAGACGTCGGTCATTAAGGTGAGTCGCCCGCCTCCGCCGTCCACTTGGCTAAAAGAGGCATGGTAGTGCGAGATGGCAGAATCACGTATTGCAATGAAGCCACCAAATGTCACTGGGGCACCGCTCAAATACAATACCACCTTCAGCATTGCTGGCGGTTTTGTTTTCGGACGCCCCACTGCCACTAACTGGACGCTGTGGTCGCCCGTCTGTCTGTGTGGCTGGCGGATTGGTGGCCGGGCCGTCGCTGGCTGACTAGTCTGACAGGTCGGTGCCGACTGAGGGCCGTCGCTGGCCAGCTGAGTCTGACCGGTCGGTGCCGACTCAGGGCCGTCGCTGGCCAGCTGAGTCTGACCCGTCGATGCCGACTCAGGGCCGTCGCTGGCCAGCTGAGTCTGACAGGTCGGTGCCGACTGACGGCAGTCGCTGGTCAGCTGAGTCTGACAGGTCGGTTCCGACTAACGGACGCGCCGCCGCCTGCAGCCGGGCCTGCAGAGCGGCGCTACCCTCTCGGCGCTGCACCTGGGCCGGGCGCCGGACGGTGGCGCGCTGTTGGCCACCGCCGGCGAGGACACCACCGTCCGTCTGCTGTCGGCGGCGTCGGGCCGCCCGCTGCGGCCGCTTGTCACGCTGCGCGCCCACATCAGCTCGGTGCGCGCGCTGTGTGCCGTCGGCGGCGGCCAGGCCGACGCCGGCTACCTGCTGTCGGCCGGCGGGCGCGCCCAGCTCAAGTTGTGGCGGCTGGTCGGCGCCGAGTGCGTCGAGCTCAGCTCCCACATGGCGCGCCCGGCCGACCGGCGCTCCGACGGCCGGCGGCCCGACGGCCGGCCCGAGACGCGCTATATGGACCTGGACGCGCGGCTGGGGCCCGGCCGGCGCGTCACCGCGGCCGCCGCCGGCTCCGACGGACTGGTGAGGTACGCCGCCGCCGCCGCCGCCGCCTCCCGGCGCCCGCCGCCCCGCGACCTGCGCTGCGGGTGCTGGCAGGGCGTGCGTGTATTATCGAGCGTAAGCCATCGTGTTGACAGCGCAGCCGCGGCAAAATGTCATGGCAGCCTGACGCTGTTGAATATGGCAGCCCAGTTAACGTTCAGCTCAGTCGCCAGCTCAGAGTCACGTTTCCAGTTATGAGTGAAGGTTTTGTGCTGGCGCGGCTGTAGCCGTCATATGTGTGTTCATCGATTGGTTATTGAGGTTTTCGACCGCAGCATGGCGCCCATTGCGCATGTTCGTTAGTCACGGACTATCGTGGTTTTGAGCCGGACGCCAGAGCGAGCGGTGCCGCTGCAGCCCGCCTCAGCTCAGCTGCCGGCGGTGCTGCTGCAGCTCGCCCCAGCTCAGCTGCTGGCAGTGCTGCTGCAGCTCGCTTTAGCACAGCGACTGGCGGTGCCGCTGCAGCCCGCCTCAGCTCAGCGGCCGGCGGTGCTGCTGCAGCCCGCCTCAACTCAGCGGCCGGCGGTGCTGGCGGTGCTGCTGCAGCTCGTCTCAGCTCAGATGCCGGTTGCCGGCAGGCTGTTCGCGTTCAGCGATGCAGCGCCGCGGCTAACGCCGCTGCGCCAGCTGTCACTCGGTGGCCGGTGTGTGCTGCGTCTGCGTTGGAGCGGCCGGCTCCTGATGGCCGCCACCACCGCGGGCGTCGTCTGGCTGTGCCGGCCGGGAGCGGAGCCGCGAACGGAGCCGGAGCCGGAGCCGGAGCCGGAGCCGGAGCCGGAGTCGGAGCCGGAGCCGGAGCCGGAGCCGGAGCCAGAGCCAGAGCCAGAGCCAGAGCCAGAGCCGGAGTCGGAGTCAGAACCGAAGCCGGAGCCGAAGTCGGAGCCGGAGCCGGAGCCGGAGCCGGAGCCGCTGCCGCTGCCGCCGCTGCACCAGTCGGGCGTGAACGCGCTGTCTGTTCGGCCGGCGCCGGGCGGCGCCGTTCAGCTGCTGACCGGCGGCGATGACGGCGCGCTCTGCCTCAGCCAGCTGCGGACAAACGGAGCGCGGCCTCGGCTGGAGACGGCTGCCCGTCAGACGGGCGCGCACACCTCTCAGATCACAGGTCAGGACAGAGATCAGGCTACAGTTTGGAGTGGATGTCAGGCCACAGATATGACGGAGGGTCAGGTCACAGACTAGGACAGAGGTCATGTCCCCTGATCACAGCTGGCTGTGGAGATCAAGTCCCTGGTGTTGTGCTGCCTGTTTGAGTACTGGTTTTGCCAGCCTGCCGGCTTGGCTGAAATATCACGGGCACTAGAACAATATGTTTGGTGTGGTATACCACCATTGCGAGTCTAAGCAGGTGATCCGGTCTTCCGGGTCAGCTTGAGTTTGTGGCGATCCCTGTAACCATTTTGACGTCAGCCAGCTATGAGTCGAGTTTTATGATTGGCCACTTTTAATAAAAATGTCCCAATGAGCAAAATTACCCCTTACATCACTGCCAGGTTCGGGTTATTTTCAGCCGATCATGCTGTGGCACGGGCCATCAGTCCATAATGTCTCGTTCCTCCATGACCGAGATTGCCCTAGCCGTGTCCCCTTTAGACCCTTACCTGTGCTGAAATGTGTACTGAATTCCGTGCTCCCTCTGCTTCGTGTTTACAGGAATGTGTAAAGAACCAGGTTTTCTGGGCGCAAAATGACCCTGGAAGTCGACGCGCCCTAAAACCCCAATTATCATCAAAGAACCAAGTTTCATTAGGTTGTGGGGTGTCGCAGTACCAGGAAGTTCGGATAGTGTCTCATGTTTTGCCATCTTCACCTGAGCTCCCGCTCACAGTTTCCATGACCCCCTTCCCCCTCCCCTCCCCCTCCGCCGTCCGTGCTGGGTGTCGCCGTGCCCAGGAGCGCGCCTGACGCCGTGTGTGTGGTGTTGCAGCCGTGCTCTGGCTGCCGGACGGCCGTCTGCTCTCTGTGTCGGTGGACCAGCGCGTGTGCGTCTGGTCGGAGCGCGCCGGTCAGCTCCGGCTCGACTCCACCCGCCTGACGGCCGTGGCGGACGCCAAGGGCGCTCTGCTCTGGACCGAGGACGGGTCAGTGGGTCGGCGGCCGTGCGCCCGTCGCTCCAACCGAGGACGGGTCAGTGGATCGGCACCCCGTTCCCGTCGCTCCAACCGAGGACGGGTCAGTGGATCGGCACCGTGCGCCCGTCGCTCCCCGCAGCCGTCGCTCAGCGACTTCTGCCGGCGCCGCGGAGCAGGGTCTCCAGCGGTTTGGTCGCACTGCGCTACAAGCGACATTGACAATGACACGGTTTTGTGCAGCTGCTGTGCGTAGGAGCTGTGTAGAGGCGATGCCACCGTCCTAAAGCGTCTGGTGCGAAGTCTGATATTCTCGGGCTTTGCGGGCTACGGAGTGGCGTGGCATCCACAATATGGTATTTGCTGGTGAAGACGTTTTGTGCCTGCGGTTGATGGAAATCGGACATATCTGTTTCAGGACGGTCATGGTGCTGGTGTACGGCGAGGGTCTGGAGCTGCTGCGTCTTGAGGTCACTGAGCTCACCGGAGTGCCAGCCGAGGGCGGACGACTGATGCGCCTCGGACGCGCGGTGTAACGTCAGAGGTCGGCGGGGTCCGATCGCCGATCAGGACCGGCGGTAGCCGCGCTCGTCATGCACCACGGATATGCCACTTTGTTGTGCTCGCCGAGCAGCGGGCTGACGCCACCACGTGCTAAGGACAATATGCGCACGCCGCGTGCATTTGCACAGACAAGGTGTCTTGCCACGAATCAGTTTTATATCAGAGATGCTATAGACTTTCAATGACCGGGCCTTCGGTGCGACAGAGCTTGTGACGGCGAATGCAAACGTTGTTTGAATTGCGGACGGAGAGCAGCGAGACGACGGGCTACCAAGGTAACTTTTGTCAATGTTTTGTATTTGTTGATTTGCAGATATCGCCGTCTGGACGACTGACAAGTCATGTTATGTCTTATGCGCGGATTTTGTCTGTTGCGACACGCCGCGACGTCAGTGACATGCTGACACCATGAAAGGCTACGTCAAGCGCAGGATGCAGCACTTGTGTGTATGGAGGAAGTTGCTGTCTCCGTCCAAGACTGTAACTTCCGTCGGCGTTTTGGCGGATTAATAAATACAACCTGCGGAAAACATTTCATTTAAAGGTCTGTGAGTCTGGGACACATGTTTTGTTTACAGCGTCAAACCAGCCATTAAATATAGATTGTGTGTATATATATATATATATATATATATATATATATATATATATATATATATGGCCACCGTCGCTGGAACCTTTTTGCACGTTAAAACCGTCTACATTTTACTTTTTCATAAAGTTTTGACGTTTCATCATCCGTGACGTCACGATCACATTAGTCTGCGGCCATGGCCATAGAGGTTGAATGTGTAACGGGAATTGGCGATCTGCCGTTAGGTCGGGAGGAATTTGGGAATACTAGTTATCTTGGATACACATCTTAGGTGGTGCGCACTCGCAGGGAAATGAAGATCTGTTTCGATCCAAAATGAACCAAGTCATCAGCGAAGACCCCTAACAAGTTATTTCGTGTGGCTGTCTATGACCTAGGAGCTGGGCCCAGGCCGCAATGAGGATGGATGCCACACATCTGAACTTCCAGGAATGTGTGATGCTGCTGTGAAGACCACTTAAGTGGTTGTGCTTTGTCCGCACAGATCATGCGGGACTGTTGTCACACTGAGCTACTACATCGTGTCGTGTGTATCGGCACTTACCAGCATTCTGTTGAAACGCGTGAGATGTTTCACACGCGCATTATATTTTATAATAAAGAACGCCGGACACCACCGATGGACTGGATGAACCACACCAAAAGCAGGAAGTACCACACTTGCTGCAAGCGAACTAGAATCAGAACTATACGGCGTGCTTTTTTAGGCTATGTTACAGAAATACATAAGGAAGATGCCAATACGCACCACCTGGCATCGCATTCCTCTGAGCGACGCAACTAGTGGCTCCAATAAGTCTCGCTGTAGCAATGTGGGGAGCAGCAGTCGCACACCAAAACTTTTCCGCTCGATCCATGATGGGTCCGATGAAGGCGAAGGTTCGTAATCATCACAGATCGACGCGGAATCGCGGCGTTGATCTCAAACTGTGGGTTGTCAATACACACGAGCTTATAGGTGAAATCCGCGGCAAGCATTTGCAGCTGCAGCTGCGCATACGCTTTGGCCGTCATTGCGCCGCCGTCGTCCAAACTTCGGCCATCATTCACCGCCGTCGTCAAACTTTGGTCGTCATTACACCGCCGTTGTCCAAACTTTGGCCTCATACACCGCGTCGTCCAAACTTTGGTCGTCATTACACAGCCGTCGTCCAAACTTTGGCCATCATTACACCGCCGTCGTCCAAAGTTTGGTCGTCATTACACCGCCGCCGTCTAAACTTTGGCCGTCATTGCACCACGTCGTCCAAACTTTGGCCGTCACTACACCGCTGTCGTCCAGACTTTGGCCGTCATTACACCGCTGTCGTCCAGACTTCGGCCGTCATTGCACCGCTTTCGTCCAGACTTTGACCGTCATCGTCATTACACCACTGTCGTCCAGACTTTGGCCGTCCTTACACCGCTTTCGTCCAGATTTTGGCCGTCACCGTCATTACACCGCTGTCGTCCAGACTTTGGCCGTCCTTACACCGCTTTCGTCCAGACTTTGGCCGTCACCGTCATTACACCGCTGTCGTCCAGACTTCGGGGGTCATTACACCGCTTTCGTCCAGACTTTGGCCGTACTTACACCGCTTTCGTCCAGACTTGAAGTCACCGTCATTACACTGCTGTCGTCACCGTCATTACACTGCTGTCAGATGTTTGAAAGTTCTCCCGGCAGTGGAGCACTTCACCTAAATTACGGCCGGCACGCTATGCACCACGCACACTTCATTTGGGCTCACTGCAAGCGCAGGCGTGGCGGGCAAGGTGGGAGGACCCGTGGCCTTCATACTCACACCCAGCATGTCTTCCGGCTGCCTCGGCGCAAGTGGCTTCATGGTCACTCCTCTCACCATGGCCTTTGAGCCACCAAACGGCTTAAAACCTCACGTCGTCTCCACCAACGAGCCTTGTGCGGTTTCACATTGCGCAGCTTCACGCAGGCTGGACGCTGTAACTCACCCGAACCGCAGGTGGAGCCACGCTGGCGATTGGGCTTGCTTCTCGGCAGCTGCGCGCACCTCGGCTACCGTGGCACTCTATTTTCTCTGCTAAAAATGTGCTTACCTTAGGCGGATCAGTGCACCCACTGCACGGATGCCGCGCGCTCTTGCAACTCCGATGTCGCGGGAGTACGCATGGCAAACAGCCCCAGCTGAATGATGATGGGCCAGATTACGTATCTGCGCACGCAGCTGCCCCAGAAGATGGAGCCATGTGCATGTCCGGGCGCAGCCAGGATTTACGACGGGGGGATAAATTTCTACACGTGCACTGGGAGACACCACAAACGTTGATAGGCACTACACCTAACGTACTAATGACCTATCGGTGTTGGTTCGCACTGGTTGTCCTAGAGCTGCGTACCGTACATACTGACTCGGCTATCCACTAACCTTGTCACTCAATAAGGAATTTTGGGCTGCACATGCCACTGCCCACGGTAGTCCATGATGTTTCAAGTTAAACTTGCTTTCCTGATCACCAGATTGTAGAATTATACCAGAAAGCGTGAAAAACTGCGATCGAATTCGACTGGACAGAGGGGCTAAAGCTCCATAAGCAGTTCCACCTCAGCTGTGCCACTCCTTCAATCACCAAAGCTGTACATACTTCCGTGTATCTACCGTGCTTGACCCAATATATGATGCGCGCCGAGCTATGTAAAATACCCGCCGCCAAGCTCCCAGAGAACGGCTCGGTAACAGAGACTGGACCATACAGAACGACGATGTGCCATGTGTATTCTGAAAAATGCAGAAAAACGTAACAGCAATATTCCAAGCACAATCCACGACAAAAGATCATGAACAACTGCAATAACCGTCATCCCCCTCCCGCAATGCGGCAAGCTGACATGCGCTTTCGATCAACAGTTCTGCACGGTCCGCACCATCCACAGCTGAGCAAGTCTGGGCCGACCCTCACGAGCGTGGCGCTCACGGAACGCCGACACTGCCTGCCGGCGCTCGGCCGGTCACAAGGCTGCCGGCGCTGGACCGGTCACGAGCCCGCCGGCGCTGGGGCCGATCACGAGCCCGCCCGCGCTGGGCCGGTCACGAGGTCGCCGACGCTGGGCCGGTCACGAGGCCGCCGACGCTGGGCCGCTCGAGGCGCCGGCGGGGCCGGCCACGAGCCCGCCCGCGCTGGGCCGGTCACGAGGCCGCCGACGCTGGACCGGTCACGAGGCCCGCCGACGCTAGACCGGTCACGAGGACGCCTCGCCACAGTGCGGGCCGGTCACGAGGCTGCCGGCGCTGGGCTGGTCACGAGGCCGCCGGCGCTAGGCCGCTCGCGAGACCGCCGGCGCTGGGCCGGTCACGAGCCCCCCGCGCTGGGCCGGTCACGAGGCCGCCGACGCTGGACCGGTCACGAGGGCCGCGACGCTGGGCCGCTCGCGAGACCGCCGGCGCTGGGCCGTCACGAGCCGCCTGCGCTGGGCCGGTCACGAGGCTGCCGGACGCTGGACGGTCACGAGGCCGCCGACGCTGGGCCGCTCGCGAGACCGCCGGCGCTGGGCCGGTCACGAGCCCGCCCGCGCTGGGCCGGTCACGAGGCCGCCGACGCTGGACCGGTCACGAAGCCGCCTCTCCGCTGGCGACGTGCGCGTCCAGGTCGTAGTTGGCGAAGCAGCGGAACTCGTTGGCCAGATTGTGGGTGTGGCCGGGGCGGAACTGGCATTCGTGCACGCCCAGCAGCCGCGAGGCCAGCTCGCCCATCTGGGCACCTGCGGCGCGGTGCCGACGCTCGCGTTAGACGTGTCGTCGGTGCGACGCCCCGCTGGGGAGGAGCGGGACCGGACACACCCGGGCGTTACCCGGCGAACACCAGACGCCGCTACATCGCCCCACCGCGCGCTGAGCGGCAAACAGACGTAGCTGTACGGTAAGCGGCGCCGAGACACGATGGTCAATGACGTGGACGGGTGGGGAAGCTATATTCGCATACGGAGCCGCAGTTGAGAGCTGGTGACGGCCTTACTATGGACGTAAGCCAGATGTGCCCTACATCGCAAACTGATCCCGCAGGCCCATTTTTTTTTTTTTTGTTGCCAAAACCCGCCCCATCACGGAATACAGTGACGACATAAATCTGACTCCACGGGTTCAGACCCTCAAGCAGAGCGACCTGAGTTGGCGACAGTCTCTCGGCAGAGCAAGCGGCACCTGTGCACAGAAGGAGGTGGTGTTTGGCCAGTAGGCGGACGGTAACGGCCGTCTTGGTGAGGCATTCCTCCGAGAGGAACGGCGGGTCGGCCACCACCACGTCGAACTGCTCACGCAGCGCCGGTGGCACCTCCAGCGGCGCCCGGTAGTCGTAGAGGACGAAGTCGGACCCGAACACGCCGAACCGCTGGTCATACTCCAGCAGCGTCACTGCCGACCAAGGAGGCGTCCCCTAGTCCTGAGAGCGGTGATCAGGTGCGGACGCAGCCATTCAACCCGTGGGCACAACCGGCACTGTCCGCACAGAACAAGCAGTCACAACAGATCGAAGCATGAATCATCCTTGTCTGACTGGTCAGGAAGGCACATCCGGTCGGCAACACACTGGGATTGTCGTCCCCGCGCCGTGCGGGCACCATGAGACATGCACGTACAGCAAGACAGGCGCACCGCACAGGCGCACAAGGTGTCACTTCGTGGAGACAAGCCACGGCGCCAAACGAATCAGCGTGATCGGCACCGCGCTTTCCGACGTCACAAACAACCGCTCGCTGCCAGCTTCGCCCACCCCGTGCACTGTTTGCACCTCCCCTCCCAGCTGATGGCCGTGTGCGTACTCACGCTGTAGGCCGGCCGGCCGCACCTTGCGCAGATGCCGGTACAGGGTGGGACACGAGAGGCAGGCCACGCGGCCGGTGGGTCCCGCCAACCGCATCGCTTCCGCGCCCAGCACGCGGCACGTGCGCTCATCGTACCAGAATTGGCTCAGCTGC